TTTCTCCTTGCCTGCAGTAGGGAGTGTTTGGACCTTGTCCACAGTGCAGCAAGTTTTAAAGTTTTAACTAGGTGTGTTTTGGTCTGCTTTTAAAGAGGCTAGATCTTATTTCCCCTAGAGCTGAAGCTTTGCAGCACTTCAATGGTCAATAGACTGGGTGTGTGAGGGGTTTGTGCTGGTCTTCTGGGGGAAGAGCCTGCTGTACTGGTTGTCAGGCTGACTTACCCTAGTAAAGATGCACCTATAGGGTGCAGGGGGGCAGAGCCTGCCACTGTTCAGGAAGCCCTCACAGAAGAGCAAACAGTCTCTCCTCTTGTATTACTGGTTTCCGTCAGATATCTGCCCTCACCCTGTCTGTGGCCAAGCCGTCTGCCCACCCCATGGCATGGTACTTCTGTGTTTTATCCCAGGCTTATGGCTGGGTTTCAAAACTCCAAATTTTAGGAGCCCCCAGCAGCACAGAATGGTGCTGATCCTCTGGGGGAAGGTCTTGCCACACTGCAGTTGGTGCCCTTTAGTCCCAGAAAAGTAGTCACATGATTGCACAGTGGCTTGGAGTTTATGGTAAAGCTCAGCAAAAGCCAGCATCAAGATTTGCTGCCCTCAGCAGGTGTCTCTGTTCCTGTGCTAATGAACAGGGCAGCACACTGGTGCCCACCAGCTCTTTTGTCCCCTGAGAGGCTGAGCCTCCTTTCCCAAATGCACTCCAAGAAGAGGAACTGTCTCTTCCGGTGCAACCAAGGGGATCCTCAAACCATGCTGTCTGGTCCCAGGTCTTTGCTTTCCTTCCCCATAGAAGCACTGTTATGGCCGACAGGCTCCACTGGTGGCTAATGGACTTCTGAAGCTTCAGACTTTGGGCTTCCCTGATTGTAAAAACTTAAGATAGTCAGCTGCTCTAGTTTTCCCAGTAAGTGGTTTGGGGGAAGTGTTTCTCTTGTGCAGTTCCCTGTGTACTACTTTCTCTTTCTCACTTTCTGTCTCTTTCTCTCTCTCCAAGATCAAGGCTCCATCTCCTCTGAAGCACCTGCATTTATTTTCTCCCCAGAATCATGTCTCTGTGCTTCCTACATCCCCTGGTGTGGTTTCTTTTCTCCCTCTAGTTCTGCAGTTTGTTCTCTTAGCATTCAGATCAATTTCTTGGGTATTTAGAATGATTTGATATTTATCTAGCTGTGTTTGTGGCACGAGGCAAATCTAGGGTCCCCTTCTGCTCCACCATGTTAATTAGGGTTTTATTTTATAACTGGAAAAAAAATCCTTGAGAATATCTGAACTAAGTCCTCTTAAGAAAATTAAGGCTAAGCCAGATTAAGCAATTTTTTAATCCTCAGATAGTGGTGAAGAGTTAGTGATAGATGGCAGTATATTGTTTTTGTTTTGTTTTCCTAAATGCCATACTTTTCAGATGAAGTTAGGAATGGATACAAAGGTATTTTGTAAACCTTAATGTAAAACAAATATAAGACATAATTGTTTTCAGGATACCCTATCTTGAGAGAACAAAGCTATAACAGGAGATAGATTATTTGGGAAGGAAGTATTGATATGCAAGTTTTACAGATTTTTCAAATGTTTCATTTAGAAGCCACTGCAAGTATGTTTCTTCCGTGGAAACTAAGATTGAAATTCAATGAAGAGAAAATAGAAGTAATTCTAAAATGGGAAGTAGCACGAAAGACTTGTTCTTTCTGTTATGGACTACATGTTCGTGCTTTCCAAAATTCATATATTGAAATCCTGATCCTCAACGTGGTGGCATATGAAGATGTGGTCCTTGGGAAATTAGATCATGAGGGTGGGTCCCTCATGATGGGATTAATACCCTTATAAGAGGAGACATGAGAGCTCTTGTCTCTCTTCTTTCTGCCATGTGAGGATACAATGAGAAGATGGTCATCTGCAAATCAGGAAGTAAGCTCTCACCAGATACCAGATCTGTCAGAAACTTGATCTTGAATGTCCCAGCCTTCAGAATTCTGGGAATTAAGTGTCCATAGTTTAAGTCACCCAGTCTATGGTAATTTGTTATAGCAGCCGGAACTAAGACATCCTCTTTTAATGTCTTTCCTGGGAATGCAAAGAAGCTTTATGCTTCTCTTTACTTTAGGAGAAATTCTTTATTCATACCAATGATAGTCTCCAAGTAAGTAAAGGGAACTAGTCCAGACATAGTTAAGAGAAAAGTCCTTGAATTCTTATCCTTTGGTAACCATCTTCCAATAAAAACAATGTAAAAACTAATATCTTAGTGGTTGCTGGATAAAAAAAAGAGTATTTTCTTCAAAAAGTATTCAACTAAAAAAAATAATAATTAGAAAATAAATAAATAAAAGCACAATAGGATGTTATGAACAACAACAAAAAAGTATTCAACTAATTAAGCCATTATTAGAAATTATTGATATGTTTAAATGAACACTACACACTATACATTTTTATGTATAATGTTAGAGGAAAATTAGGAAGTTTAAAAACATTTTTTCCTGAAACTTGAAGAAAGCAGTAATTTTCTTTGATTTTTCAAAAACCTCTAGAGGAGGTTTTTCAGATGGCCTGAGGAGTTCCAAGAGTACTCTGCCATGTTGGGTCTTCCTCACCCAGCCTCGGTTTTAGGATATCTATTCTAACCTTGGATATAATGAGAGACAAATGTGATGTTTTAGCTTTAGTAGATATCCTTATTCATATGTCAGCCTGATCTGTGGCAACACTGGGACCCCAAGAAAGTAAATAATATTGGAATCTAATGTTCTAATATAAGGGTAAGCTGTCTTCTTGGTGTGTTTCATCAAAGAGAATGTAGTCTCTTAGCTGAATGTGCATGTTTCTTGACATATTCTAGGAGTCTCATGATTTTTTCAGAGCTAGAGAAGCACAGTTTATTTTATTTTATTTTTTAAAAAAATTTATTTTTTAAGTAATTTGTACACCCAATGAGGGACTCAAATTTATAATCCTGAGATGAAGAGTTGCATGCTTTACAGACTGAGCCAGCCAGATGCTCTGAGAAAGCATAGTTTAAAGAGAAGTAGGTTGCAGAGAAATGGACTAAGTAGAGACTAGGCCTTGGGTACTAGGGGAAGAGGTTGGGTTCTAGTCCAAGTCTTACCACTAAATTACTGTGGATTAACATATATCACTGCTATTTTTTGAGTTTCCATTCCTCCAAACAATAATTTTACAGAGTGAGAAGAGAGATCAAAACAAGTTCACCGAATTTGAGAATACAATGCTCTCATGATGGCCACTGCCAAATGAAATGCCTGGTTATCTCAAAGCATTAATGTAGGGAGGCTTGAGACAAATGGTCAGGAAGTATATGATCACAGAAACAAATTATGGCCTTTTTCAAATTATGGCCTTGATCTATCATGTCAAACTCTAACTCAGAGAAAACCAAACCAACCAGGCAACCAAACAAAACAATTAACATACAGGATTCCTGGGAACAACATAGGAGGAACGGGGATATAATTTAGATGCTTTCTTATTTTCCTTTTTTCTTTCTATAAGGTATTTACAGTGACATCCAGGGTTAAGAATAAGAAGTATTGAGAAGATGCCAGGCATTAATTATCTCATTAATTATACATACAGTATTTGCTGGACACACAGAGACATCAGTTATTAAATGTTCACAAATGCTACTGTACATGTGCATACTTACCTACCACTTGTAACCCAAGGGTTTTGGTATCTGTTAAGACACATATGGATACCTCTAAACATTCATTTGTACTCTGAAACATATACAAATAGTGAGCTTCTTATTTTATATGTAAGTATTTTCCGTCAATATGTTGATCTTCAGACTTACAATTTTATCCTTCTTACTCATGAACAAACACGTTACTTGTTAACATTAACATCACATTGAAAATTCAGCATCACAAGAAAAGTCTCTGCTATGAAAGCAATTTTCAAAGCTGAGGTGATGTTTATTGTAAACACCAAATCCTACCACAGAATTAATCTTCTGGGATTTTATCCTTTATTTTATTCCACTTACTGAGGCAATTGCCTTAGAGTATAAACTCCTTCATTTGAATGTCAGACTCTACAGAGCAAAGAATCTGTTATCTCTCTTCTAGTGGTAGCATGGAACATAGAGGTGCAGACAGCTTAACTTTATCTTATGCTTGCTTCCCTAAGAACTGTTTTTATTTTTCTTGTCATATTCAAGATTGATGAGAACGTGGAAAATGGGAGTGTAGTACTGGGAAAAAAACAAGAATATTGCTACAGACTTAATAATAACTTATGTGTTAAATGATAATGAGAAAGATGACTGCTTCTATAGTGGTATTTAGCTTTTTTTCTGTAGAAGTTATTTGAATATTTACTAAGTACTTCATCTAATCAAGGAGGAACTTACAACGGAAGGCAGAGATGTAATATTTATCTATCTTTCACATTATAAAAATGCAGTTATAGATAGAAAGTTCAATTCTAGGAAATGTTCCACTCTGCAATGCATCTCTAGAATTAGAGTTTAAAAGAGAGATTAAATTATTTGGACTAGGAGGTGGTTTTAATCAGCTTAAACTGCTAACCAAAGTATCACTAGGTGGCTTATACCACAGACATTTATGTCTGACAGTTCTGGAAGCTGGGAAGTCCAAGATCAAGGTGTTGATGGGTTCAGTTGCTGGTGTGAGAACCTTCTTTGTGGCTTGCAGACAGCTGCCCTCTGGTTGTATTCCCTCCTGAAGAGGGAGGTTGAACTGGGGTCTCTTCTCACAAGGGCAGTAATCATTAATGAGGGGCTCATGACCTCATCTAAACCTAGTTACCTTCCAAAGGCCCCACCCCAGTTACCATCATGTTAGAGGTTAGAGCTTCAACATATGAATTGTGGGGAGAAATGAACATTCAGTCCATAATAATGGTAATGAGAGGGATTGTAAGGAATAATTATTTGATCATGACACTGAATCTCTTCTTTGGTTTTCTACATTCTCTTAACCTTTTTTTATCATCTTCAATCTCTCCGTTAGAGCCTGCTTAAAAATTTCCTCAGAAAGGACTTCTACTGGATTGGTCTCAGGAACAGTTCTGGTTGGAGGTGGGAAGATGGATCAGCCTTAAACCACTCAAGGTAAGGGGATTCAAAACAAGGGGGAAAGAAAGAGAGAAGGGGAAGAGAAATGATATGACTGGGGAAATAGATCAAGGATAAGAGATGGAGAGGAGAGGAAAAGGTAAGAAAATGAACTAGGGAACATGGGAGGAAATGAATGATGGATGAGAGCCAAAAAAAAAAAAAAAGATGACATTTTAAAGAGAGGCTCATGAACAGTTTTTTTTTTTTTTTATTTTTTTATTTTTTTTAAATTTTTTTTTTTTTTTTTTATTTATGATAGTCACACAGAGAGAGAGAGAGAGAGGCAGAGACATAGGCAGAGGGAGAAGCAGGCTCCACGCACCGGGAGCCCGACGTGGGATTCGATCCCGGGTCTCCAGGATCGCGCCCTGGGCCAGAGGCAGGCGCCAAACCGCTGCGCCACCCAGGGATCCCTTTATTTTTTTTTAATTTTTATTTATTTATGATAGTCACAGAGAGAGAGAGAGAGGCAGAGACACAGGCAGAGGGAGAAGCAGGCTCCATGCACCGGGAGCCCGATGTGGGATTCGATCCCGGGTCTCCAGGATCGCGCCCTGGGCCAAAGGCAGGCGCCAAACCGCTGCGCCACCCAGGGATCCCTCATGAACAGTTTTTATTCTGCTGGTTTGGAGCTGAGAGAAGTGGGGCCTGAAAGAGAGAGAGAAAGAACCGCTCAGTTTTTATGCCTTCATGCCTTGCAGCTCTTTTATTCTCATGTTCCCTTAAGTGATTGACTTTTCTGATTTCTTACAGTATTCTCTCAAACAGCTTGATACAGAAGTGTGGTACCTTCAGCGAAGCTGGTCTCCGAGCCTCTAGCTGTGAAGTTCTTTTGCCGTGGGTCTGCAAGAGGGTCAGACGTTGATGGGTTGGATCTGTCACAAGGCTCCCTAGAAAGAGGCCTCTGAGTGATGGCAGAGCCATGAGTGTGTATTTTGTGAATGCTGAACCTTCTAGGACATGGCATTTGATGTAAGATTAGCGCAATGTCCCTGGGATTGATGGTGTATTGCTGGACTCCCTTTGAGTGTTTGGATATTATGTTAACAGTTTAAAGATCAGATCTAGGGACATTTGTGAAATAAATTTTTTTTTTTAGTATTTTTCACTATAGTGACTGATGCTGCCTCCTTCCCCCCATTCCCACCATCTCTGTCAAAAATGTACCTTTCCTCTATGTTATGATCTGATCTGATATAATCCATGCAGATATATACTATTGCTAATGTGTTACAGGGCTTTGATGTGTGCTAGTGGGTTTGCATGTTACTTATTCTTGATAATATATTTTTATCCTAATGGCGGCACTTCACAGATAAAGCTGTATCCTGAAGGATAATGCTGATTGTGAGAATAGAAGTTGTAGAAGGTGGATGAGAACAGGGTGGTGCTTTCTGCTTCTTAACCCTTCACCACCTAAAGATCTGGCCTTGGCTGAATTTAATTTTTCTGGGTGTGCATAGACATGATGGAATAAATTCATATATGACCATATCGTTTCTATGTTGTGAACGTGTGATTTGCTTGTTAATTTCACAATGGTGGTCAATCTGAGGAAAGTTTACTGAAGGCATTTATGTGCTTGATTCTGCAATTATTTTAGGCACAAATGCCTAAAAAATGAGAAGAACTTTATTATTTCTGTTAAGTGGAGTTTGGACATAGATAAGTAGGGAGTACTAATTAAAAGATATAGGAGGGAGCACTGAAAGGGACCATCATTCTGTACTGTTGATGACACTGGATTATAATGTCTCATCTTTTTCTAACAGTTGGTTTTTTTTTTTTTTTTTTTTTTTTTTTTTTTTTTTTTTTTAGGAACATGGACTATGGGATCCCTGGATGGTGCAGCAGTTTAGCGCCTGCCTTTCGCCCAGGGCATGATCCTGGAGACCCCGGATCGAATCCCACATCGGGCTCCTGGTGCATGGAGCCTGCTTCTCCCTCTGCCTATGTCTCTGCCTCTCTCTCTCTCTCTCTCTGTGTGTGTGTGTGTGTGACTATCATAAAAAAAAAAAAAGGAACATGGACTATATCTTATCCACCACTGTATCCCACACACCTAAAGTAGTGCTTGTATTAGTGAAGACTGAATGAATGAATAAAAACTTTAAACCATTCTTATTCTGTTTTTTTTTTTTTTTTTCTGTTAGCCTGTGAGGTAACTAGAGGAATTAAGGGCAAGAAATACAATATTTTCTGATCCTTCCTAACCCCACCCATGTGTGCATTCAATAGCTACCTCTAAAAAGGCAAAGAACCAGTTTCATCTAGATGTGATGTTCTCAGAAGGAAGTGGTGGAAACAAACTCAACAAACTCCAATCTCGTCATGATTTCTTACCTTTGGCTCTGGGACTTCAGGGTGTATCTTGATCATAAATGTGATGGTAGTGATTCCCACGTGGTTAAGGATGTAATGATAATGATTCCACTTGGGCCATGGCTTGGCTGCTACAGCATGCACAATCTCATTTACCTATTCAAAGAGAAACAGAGGAGGTTGCTACACTCCTGAACTCTCCCCTGAGCAAGTAGCTTGTGGGCAGCTCTTTTCTGTGGCCCAAGGCAGGACTCCGTCCCCAGACCAGGATCACGTCCTGAGCCAAAGGCAGATGTTCAATCACTGAGCTACCCAGGCATCCCCAGTTCAGTCTTTTTGCAAGGACTTCTCACTACCTATCATCAGAATTGGATCTAGTTCTTCACTCTTCTTTCTCCCTTTAGGATGTTACAGTAGAAATAACTTATCTCCTACTTATTTATGTATTCCCTGGACTAACTCATTAGGGGTCAGGATCAGTTATTTATTTATTTATTAAAAAGATTTATTTATTTATTAGAGACACACACACACACACAGAGACACAGGCAGAGGGAGAAACAAGCCCCATTCAGGAAGCCCCACGTGGGGCTTGATTCCAGGTCTCCAGGATCACACCCTGGGCCAAAGGTGGCGCTAAACCGCTGAGCCACCCGGGCTGCCCCAGGATCAGTTATTAACTCAGCCTTTCTACCTTGCCTAGTGAAATAATGTTTATTTATTTTTGTGTATGGTGCAAGAAAGCGGTCCGCTTTAATTCTTTTGCGTTCAGCTGACCAGTTTTCCCATGCCATTAAAAAAAAATTCAGATGTTTTTTATTCAAAGGTTTTCAAAAGAGAGAAAACCGAAAAAACTAACAATCTGATCAAATGTACAACTCATAAATGTCTGTTGGCATTTAGCAACAAGTCTTAGGAAAGAAAACTACAGTTTTCTTTAATCAGGCAAATAAGTTACCACTACCAAGTTTGTGGCACTAGTAAAACAAATAAAAAACGAACTCTCTTGATCATATAGATATCTCTATGAAAATCTTTTTTTTTTCAGTCTGTAAGAAAGGTCCTTCTTCATGAATGAACTTACAAAATAATTTAATGGCTGTCTACTATGTGATGTATAACTAATTTGTTTTTTAAATGTACAGAGGTTGTGTTTCACAAATCTTACCCAAATATGGCACTTAGTCAGACCTATCTAGCAGCAGGTTGCCCCTCCCCTCTAACTGAGCTACTAGATTTCATTCCTAATGCAGAAATCTCAAATAATAAGAGACCCAGATTTATAAATGCACGAGGTACAAGGAGGGTGCTGCGTTCAGTCTGTACTTTCACAAAGCAGTAATATTCCAAGGGGCTTAGAACCAATAATAGCACAACTTTTAAAAAAGGAAACAAAAACAAAAACAAAACACATTTCTCTTATGACAATGTAATTTTCACTAGACTCAACATTTCTAAGAGCAGCAAGGAATTTTCAAATTATGAAATGTCACTGACATCTATACTCAAATACAATCAGAAAATTTAAGAACCAAGAAGTACTGGAAAGAAGTAACTGCTTAGCCCTAGCTCCTGTGCCATTTGTTGAAGGGACTTTTCCCCTGGAAAAGGCATATTCTTGCCTCCCTGTTAAAGATCCACTGACCATATAACTGTGGGTTTATTTCTGGGTTTTCTCTTCCGTTTCCATTGATTTATGTGTCTGTTTTGTGCCAGTACTATCTTGTTTGGATTACTACAGCTCTGTAGTGTATCTTGCAGTCTTGAATTGTGTTACCTCCGGTTTTGTTTTTCTCTTTCGAGATTGCTTTGGCTATTTGGGGTCTTTTGTGGTTCCATACAAATTTTAGGGTTGTCTGTTCTGGTCCTTTGAATTATAGCATTGGTGTTTTGATAGGGATTGCATTAAATTTATATATTGTTTTGGGTCATGTAAACATTTTAACAATATTCTTTTTTTAAAATATATTTTATTATTTTTAAGTAATCTCTAAACCCAATGTGGGGCTTAAACTTATAACTCCTGAGATCAGGAATCATATGCTTTACTGACTGAGCCAGCCAGACACCCCTAATATTTATTCTTCTAATCTGTGAGCATGGAATATCTTTCCATTTGTTTGTGTTGCCTTCAATTTCTTTTATATGTGTTTTATAGTTTAGAATACAGTGATTAGAGTTAATCAAACTCCTCAGTTCAGGGGTCATTATCTTCATCGTCATATATGCCTCTCTCACAGTCCATTCACCTTTCCCTTGGCCCTACATCCCCGCTTTCATTTATCTTTTTTCCACAGGAACATACTTTGATGTTTGATTTTTTTAAAAAGATTTTATTTTATTCATGAGAGACACATAGAGAGAGGCAGAGACATAGGCAGAGAGAGAAGCATGCTCCGTGCAGGGTACCTGATGTGGGACTCGATCTCTGGATCCCAGGATCATGACCTGAGCCAAAGGCAGATGCTCAACACTGAGCCACCCAGGCATCCCTTGTTTGTGTCCTTATAAAATATGTAGTGTTCTTCTTTGTTTCATATTTAATAAAATTTTTCTATATTTTTCATTGTTTTACTTTTTCCATGAACATGTTTTTTTGAGTTCTATTCATGTTGCATTATGTACATGTAATTCATCCTTTTAGCTGCTGCATAATCTCCATTTTATGTGTCCATTCTCTTAATGATGAACACCTAGTTTGACTTTGTTTCCCCACTATCACAAACAGTGAGGGGATGGATATTCTCTTCTGTATCCCTACTCCAAAATCTTCCTCATCTTAGGGAATGACCCTATCTCCACTTAGTTGTTCAGATTCCAAACTGAAGCGCTTCTTGATTTATTTTTTTTCCACATCAGCAAGTTTTATTATTGCCACCAGAAAAGTATATTCTAAATTTCCTCTTCTTTCCATTTCCACTTTTTTTTTAAAAAAAGATTTATTTATTTATTTGAGAGAGAGAGCATGCACACTAGTGTGAGTGGGAGAAGGGGCAGAGGGGGAGAAACTCAAGAAGACTTCCCACTGAGCATGGAGCCCAGATTGGGCTCTACCTCATGACCCACAAGATCATGACCTGAGCCAAAATCATAAGTGGGATGCTTAATAGACAGAGTCACCCAGGTGCCCTCCTTTTCTACTTTTAGTTCCAATCCAAGCCATATATACCCATGAAAATGTCACCATAATCAAGATGGTGAAACAGCAATTATCCTGAAAAGCTTCCTCATGTCTTTTTGTAATTCCTTCTTCTTTCTCTTCCCTGTCACCCAACACTCTCCCATCCTTAGGAAGCCCTGATCTACTTTATGTCCCTGTAGATTAGATTATATCTTCTAGAGTTTTAGAGTACATAGAGTTTTACAGAGTCATTAAGTATGTACTGTTTTTTGTGTTCTTTCACTCAGAATCATTGTTTTGAGATTCATTCATGGTGTTGTATCAATGGTTTATCCTTTTTTATTGCTAATATTCCAGTATATGAGTGTGTCATGATTTGTTTCTTCATTCACTTGATTGGCATTTTGATTGTTTCAGTTTGGGGCTATTAAAAATAAAGGTGTTATGAACATTTGGGTACAAATCTCAGTATGGATGTAGGCTTTCTTTTCTCTTGAGTGAAATACTTAGGAGGTGGAATGTCTGGATCATATATGGTAGGTATATGTTTAACTTTTTAAGAAACTGTCACCCTTTTTTTCCAAAGCATTTGTACCATTTTATATTCCAGCCAGTAGTGTATGAGAGTTCTATTTCCTTCACATCTTCGGTAATATTGGGTATAGTCAGTCTTTTCCTTTTTAGCCATTCTAGGAGGTACTCAGTGGTATCTTGTTGTGGTTTTAATTATCATTTCCTTAAAGATCAGTGGTGTTGAACATCTTTTCATGTATCCATATATCTTTCTTTGATGAACTATCTCTTCAGATATTTTGCCTACTTATTCATTTTCTTGTTATTGAGTTTTCAGAATTCTTTATATTCTGGATACAACTTCTTACCAGATATACACTTTGTAAATATTTTCTCCCAATCTGTGGTTTTTCTTTTCATTCTCTTAACAGTGTATTTTAAAGAACATAAGTTTTTTAGTTTTTCTGAAGTCCATTTTATCAATATTTGTATTATAGTTTGTGTTATTTGTATGTTCTCTAAGACATCTTTGTTTAGGCCAAGTTCATAAAGATTGCCTTTATGTTTCCTTCCAGAAATTTT